TGTTGTCCTCGCGCGCGATTTGTCGTCGTCGCGAGGTTTAGCGTGGAGAGGAGAAACGAAGTGCGGCACCTCCGCGGGGCCCGATTTCGCCGGGCCCCTTTACATCCTCACGCTTGACGTCTGGCCGCGAGTCACAGCGTGGAAAGTCGCGATCGCCGATTCACAATCTTGCGATGAACCGATGTGTCTTATTGATCACCGCTTCGATTAACGCTTTGTGTGCCGCTTCCGCGCTCGCACCACCGGCCATCGTCCCGTCGTTGTCGTTCCGCATCCGCCGCATCGGCGGTGCACGGTATGCGTACCGGAAGCGCGTACCAGTCTCCGACTGTAGCCGCTGCCGCTCCTCCGCTCCTGCAGCGCGCGTTAGCGCTACCACCCTCCGTACGGTCGCACGACGTCGGCGACAATCGTTACGGGGCATCGGGCCAGGGGCGCGGAGATCGAGCACGACGTCCCGGACTTCACGCAGAACTCACCGGCAACGATCGAGATCATCGCGCGTTATTCTTGCTCTCTCTTTTTTTTTACACAGTTCTCTGTTCTCACTCGCGCGCGGTATATCAATGTTTACGCGGTTTTTACGCGCGCGTCGCTTTGAAACAGCAACAATGCGACGCTGAGAATTAAAGAGAAGGGTAGTATGTGATATCTTCACAAATTTCTTTGGTAACTTTTTCGATCCGATCAGATCGTTTCCTCGGCATGAATTGTCGCGTATCTCCTCGACATGTCAATAGACGGATAGACGGGATGCTTAAGACGAGAACGGATCACGAGAATAACAGCGTGTTCCTCGTGTCGCTTTGTGTAGCGCGACAACGGATGAACGAAGCGACGAGCATCGAATCCGACGTGTCGAGTTTCCGAGAGGATTTCGCGATGAATATTATTTACGTTATCGACGTGCTCTATCACGCGTTCCTTAATTTTTCTGAATCTCGAAAATCTCTTTTGCCACACTCTCTTCCTCGGAATTTTAAAAAACGATATCTTTATTCTCTCAATTCTCTCTTCGTGCGTCTTGTTTCTTCCACTTCTCTCTCTCGCGTACAAAATATTAACACCGAGATTTTTCCAGATTTCACACCTACGGATATCTGTACGATTCTATTGTTCTCTTCGATTAAACGACGATTAGTTGCCGAAGCTCTCACTATACCGCACTGACTACTCGTTTCTTCGATCACCGGGGCCTCGGGTTAGGACACGCACATCTCGTGTTCTATTTCTCACCCTCCTTCGTCACGACGGCGCGCAACCAGCAGCCGACCGTTCCTCCACCCTAATCGTCTAGCACGACGATGGACGCACGGGAGCGGCGCAACATCTCCGGTCGAATCGCGACGAGTTAACTGAGCGCGCGGGGGTAGCGGTCCATGGGCGACGTCGAGACCGACCTCGAGGAGAAACGCGGATGCCCGCAGTAGCCGATGGGTGTGAACCCCGTGTGCGTGTGCGTTAACCGACGGCGGCGGCAGCCCTGCTGGCACACACCGCTCCGGAGCGCCGTCTCCAGCCCTCGCCACGGAGCGGCGTCGGCGGTAGCGACGTCGGCGGCGGCGTCGGCGGCAGCGGCGGCGGCGGCGGCGGATGATACGCGCCGGCGTCGTCCGGTTGGCGGCAACCCCCGGTCTTCGACTCACAAGGCTTTCGTACCACCGCAATCCTCACACCGTTATATCCACTGTCGGCCTTGAGGGGTTGAATCGCGGGACGCAGCTGTTTGGGGTGTCGAGAAACAGGGAGCGCACGGTGCGCTCATCCCCATAGCAACCCAAAACAGCTTTGGAAAATCATTGCTCGCGATACGGCTGTCGAATTTTTTATTCAATTTCTTGTAATTTTGTTTTGATTTGTGATAAAACAACAACTATGCGAAGGATGCGTCTTAAAATCCATTTTTTATCATTTGAAGTGATTGAAAGTGATATTTTGTTTTTGAAATCATTGATATCAAAAACATTGCATTAAACAGTTTATCATACAAAAACTCCGATATAATATCTACGTAACACAAAAATAAGATTGATGTGTGTATGTGAAACCAATCGTTCTATAATAATATTACGAACTTGTATAATCACTCTTCGTCTCTCTCTCTCTCCCTCTCTCTCTCTCTCTCTCTCTCTTTCTCTCTCTCTCTCTCTCTCTCTCTCTCACTATAAGATAAATATTATCACTAAAAACAACGCGGAACTCCTTGCGTTCCGATTTCTTTTATCCTTCATCGCATTAAGCTTTCGAGAATTCTTATATTAAACACATCGATTATCTTGTTTCAATAAATTTTTTTGTCGGCAGCGAATTGTACGGCAAAAGAAGCCACTTTAAGACGGGAACAAAATTCGAGAAAAATTGTTATTATAATGTTCGGAATTTCAAATATTTCATTATATTAAGTCCTCAAAAATCAGATCATCTACGAAACAATATTGGATCTGGAAGATATTTACACAAGGGGTTTCTATGCTCGGAGGGCCAGACCCACCACATCGAAAGTAGACCAGAAAACTTATATTACTTTCGTCGCGCGCGCTCCCAAGCTCTCACCGTGTGTAAAGTGAGAAATTCGCAAGAGAATATAATATTTTTAAAAGTTTTATTTGCACAGAACTATTAAAAATTTGTCAAACGCGAAAATATTGTGTGCAATCTTATGAGTTTTGTAAACAAAAAAAAACAAAATATTTATTTTCTACCAACGTAACAATATCTTTGCAAAATTCATATACTTAAGAAATTTATTGTTTCCTTTTTCTATCTTTTCATATCGCGCAACATAAAAGAATCTAAGAGTTTTTTGTTAAAAAACCTTTTATGCAATTTTTATGTAAATTCTTCTAATGTTCGGACGCGCCTCGTCCTTTAAAATCGTATCGTTATTTGGAGATATGCAAAACAGGTAATAGATATTATAATACGATATCTACGTAATTTGAACTATCTTCCAAGTACATAAATATGCATTAAGAGTTATGAACTTCGCGTTCAATCACGATATCGAAATGGAAATTTAGCGTCTTACCATTTCTTCAAAATAATGTAAACTTTTAATTTTCAATTAAAAAACCGACCGTAGCGTATAATGATTCCTTAAACATACTTCTTTTTTTTTGTGGATCAAACCAAGAGAAAATTAAAAACTAGAATTTCTGAAACACACACAAAAACCAAATAAATAGACAATTAATTAATTATTCTGTTGTCACTGATCATAGATTAACTACAGAATATGATTTCAATTGGCAAGAGACCAAAATTTTAGACAAAGAAAAATTTTATCATAAAAGATCAATTTCAGAAATGATTGAAATTAAATTACAAAACAATCCTATAAACATAATGTCGGACACAGAAAAATTAAAACTTTATTTCTCATTGTTAGAAACATGTAAAGAAAGACATGGAAAATAAATTCAACGGTTTGACTTCAGGTATTGTGAAATTTAGAAGGACTTACAAGGTTTTACAATTGTGGGGATAAACATATATAAATAGGTTTGCGTGTGAAGGCGTCATATCACTGTGAATTTACTAACATGTGTACATCTTAAACTTGTTTTGAAGATGGTGACTCTTGTTTAGGCTATTTTTGATTGGTGAGAGATCATTATTTTTATTGTATATTTAATAATTTGTAATCAATTACTGCAATTGTTTTTGTATAATAATGTTAACAGATATTCACTGATGAAGATCTGTTAACATTATTGTACAAAACAAATTAAATATTGCAACAAATAAAGTCAGTACACGGTCACCTTGTATATTACTCGTACTGCCTTTCGTTTGACAATTTATTTCTTTTTTGTTTATAGAGATTTTATTTATGTTATATTAATAAGAAATTGTTTTTTGCGTTCTTCTGAATATTCAAAAAGTTGACCGTATACGATTAGATACGGAAAATTCCTTTGGAGACTTTCCGAGCAAGGTTACTCTATAATGTAATTTTGTAATTTTTCCACACATATCTGATATATAATTTTTATATATATATTTCTATCTTCGGGGAGTCGTAAAATATTCGTACGTTCCTGCGAGTGCACGTGCACGGAAAACGCGTGCAAACTGAAGGCAAGACAGAGAGAACTGCAAGACCGTAAGATCAATATAGGGCTGTAGGGGATGTTAGTTCGGTAACTGCCTTTGATTTCTCTTTCTCTCCCTTCGCCTTCAGCTTCCGTCTTATGTAATTGCGTTATCGCGGTATCGGCGCACGGAATCAACGTCGCTTTATTGTCTACGATCGACAGTAACGTTTAACTTCACTCACAAGAACGGATATAAGTACTAATAGTATGCTGAAAGGCAATTGCACGAAGCGAGTTTTAGCTTGAATTTCAGTTGAGCGATCGTCTTTGTATCACTGAGAAGTGTGAGAGACTTATCTTGAAATATAACAAATCGCTCGCTCTTTTAATTCTGATTCAATTTCTAATTAAGTGAGTAATTATTCCGTTAAGCCTCGTCAGAAAAAAAAGTTTTTAATGATCATAAGAAGTTCAATCCATGTGACTCAGTGACAATTATATTTTTTTTTAGTGTATTGTTTATTTAAGTTTTTTAGTTCGCGCAATAAACTGGTTTTTGTTTGAGAAACAAATGTATATTTAATATATATCTTCAATGTATTTATCAAATTTTGTCAACTATAGCAAACTTGATATTTTAATTTTTAATTACACATAATTATATGTAAAAGTTGTATTAATTTCACGCGTATGCTTAAAACAGAAGAGCAATGATCAAAAGTTTATGCAAAACATTCAATTGTTGTTATTCAAAAATAAAATTATAAATGCTTTATACCGACACGTTTCCAGAAACATTGACGAAGTGCTGATGATCTTGCAGAGAGGCCGCTAGAGATAAGAGTGTTCTAGAGACTCGCTAATAAGGGTCACAAAATATCAAAGTTGGGTGGATTGGCGCCATATTTCGTCAAAAGGCGCGAAATTTAGTTTCTAATCATTTTAAATAAAAGAGAAGTTACATAGTTCAAAAAAATAAGTTTTATTTATTTATCGTATATTGTCGCACTATTAAAATGTCGTCTTTGGTCTCTTACACGCAATCTTACAAGCAATAAAAAAGATACTGCGTCGTCTATTTTTTTGCAATTCATATTTATATTTTTTCATATTATTCATTCTTACTTTTGTCTAAAAATTCCGATAATGAACTACTTTTCAGAAATTCGTTCAACAATTCACTTGAAAGTTGACATCTTTTCTGAAGCGTTCGTATACTTGGCAAAGGCATGTTTTGTTTTATTAATTCTTCATAACCGCGTTCACCACAAGCAGATTTCAGTTGTAACGCTTTCACAATTGTATCGTCAGACCACTGTCGTGGTTTTGACGATATTAAAGCACAAATTTGATCATTTGTAAAGATTTGTTTCAGATGAGACATATATAGATTTTTGCTCTTTTCTTTTTTTATTCTGTTATTTTCTCTTTTTAATTTTCTAAAACTTTCTCTCATGTGTTTTAATTTTTGTCTTAACACTATAATTTTTTTTGCTAGTTTATTGCATAAACAAGTGCTTTTGCACTTTTGTGGTAACACTGATACTTGATTGTCCGTTTTTACCGATTCTTGTTGACTACAACTTGTTGATGATGAGTTTTGCGTCCCCTAATCAAAAGCAAGCATATAAATGTTATATTCACGTTACATATAAAAGATTGTAGTTTTATAAAAAATTATATAATACAAAATCATACTTACTGTTATTGATTTTATATCTGACAAGTGATTAGGATCTTTTTCTTTGATCATACTAATATTATCAGTATTGCTTATATTAGGTTTTGATTTCTCAATTACTTTAGATTGTAATTGATAACTTGGTACATGGCTATTGTGACATTGGTGTATATTATTTTTAGATTTTCTTCTGAGAAATAAACCAAGTTGTCATCAAACTGACTTATTGCTAACATACTTATATTGGCATATAAATTGATTTGTTTTTTTTTTTTCCATACCTTCTTCTCTTTTCTTCATTTTCTTTTCTTAGATTCAAACCAAAAACTGTTGGCACTGCATCATGTTTTAGTTTCCGACTACCATCAACTCTTGTTTTTTCCCACATTGATGGTTCAAAATGAAGCTATACATAAGATGATAAGTAAACAAAATTACACATTATCTTATTTCTAAAATCAATTGAGACTGAATACCAAAAATAACCTCGCAAAGATACGAATTATTCGACGGGATCCAATTTTCTCGTCCAACATTGGCTGCCCATTTTGCTCTTCGCTCTGGATCACGAGGGAAGACCCTCATACTGTAGCCCTTCTCTGACGTATTGTTGCAATTTGGTGCAGAACAAGAAGGCATTAGGTTTATAATTAGTTGTGTATATAATCTGTAATAATTACAAATAAAAAGATTTCTTTGGTCTACACAACCACAACACAACCATAAATATCTAAGGCTGCGTTCTAATATTCATTGAAAATCTATAGTACACGTGACGTAAACTAGACATTTGCAGTACTGGCAGTAAATAAACAGAACTTATAATCTATACATTCTGACATTTTTATCAAAACATCTAACATTTGTTGATATAAATATTTACAGACACATACACAATAAATATAGAACTCTAGTTCAAAAGTGCGTTCGCTTTAGAAGCTTATGCGATTTAAACGTCAGTTCGTCCCTTTTTTGCTCTTTAAATAAAAATTGACACTGACGCTCAAAGCGCGTGAGCGTCCAAAGCGAACGCACCTTCAGTATGTATATATGTATGCATGTATGTGTATATGTATTACCAGAGAGAATGAGCGGTCACGGTCACAAAGCCTTGTGCACAATGCGAGGGAATAGTGATAGCAGAGAGAAGCCTGAGAGCGGTCACGGCCATAAGAGTTTCTGTCATAGCTTTTCGTGGACATGGTTCTATTCCGTGCTAAGTTTGTGGACATGGTTCTATTCCGTGCTATGAAAACACCGACATGGTGGGGATACGCACACAAGCGAGACCGTTGTCCGTGTGCGCTCGTGGAAGTGCGCAGCAGTGTTCACAGTTTTAGCTTCCTTACAGCATGCTGAAGCGGTGGGGCTGTGTTCAGTTAAGCAAGATGGAACGAACTAATGGAGGAAATGCAGGAAATACAGGAATTGGAACTAATGAATTCCTGTATTTCCTGCATTTCCTCCATTAGTTCGTTCCATCTTGCTTAACTGAACACAGCCTGGAAGGGATGCGCACAACAGTAGCGAGTTTATGCAGTTAGAATTCGCTGCTGTTGTGCGCATCCCTTCCACCACTTCAGCATGCTGTAAGGAAGCCAAAACTGTGAACACTGTTGGCGACTTGTATTTCGAATNCGCAGACGTTGAAAGAACTGATAGAGGGGTTTCTGTCTCAAAATCATTTTCTTTCGCTACAACGCAGTCGTTTGTCGGATATTGTGAAATACAGTGGCGCAATAAGTTAACTTTTTCTTCAAAAATGCCAACGTGTCCATATTGTAAAGTGACAATTGATTCAATAAGTTTATTTATGTTACACGACTGTCCTAAAGGACCTTATATATGTCCGGTAAGAAAAACCTTGAGAAAATCTTCCCACTTCTATTTTGCATGAATCTCGCGTATAATAGGCACGGTGTGCTCGCGCAGTTCGAGCGCAACTTCGTTGCGCGTGAAACTTGGCGCGAGGCACTACCGTGCCTCTTGATATATCTATATTTTTAACAACATCTAGAAGATATAATAAACGTGCAAATATTGATAATACATATTTGAATACATTCTTCTAAACCTTGACATAAACACGTGAAAATAAAACTGTATACGAAAATATAGGTTTTACGTAACACTATTTTCAATAAA